GTGGTTGTCCAAACTTCTTCACTGATGGGCCTCAACCACCTCCCATGAAACCCATCCCATTTCCTAGGGGTTCCTGACCCTCAGAGATGATCTTTTAACATTTAACCTGAAACCTAGTTCCTGGAGTTTTGTTTTATTGGAATGCATCCTGCCCTGCTGGCATTAGTCCAATTAGTGCTTTGAAACAAGCTTATCAGCTTTTCAGAATCCTCTGGAAATACTAGGATTCTGATTCTTCTAATTGTATAACTCAGAGGTGGCAAAAGGTTGTTAAACACACACAAAAACATAAACACAAACCCAAGCAGAACCTGTCACAGTGGCATCTGCCCTTTCTTGCTCTAAACTTATAGCCTGCTCATTCTCCAGCCCAATGCAATAAATTCTTGCAGGGAGAGGCATCATGCCCCCTCTTCCTCTCTCCCTTTTTCTCCAAAGTCTTCAATTTTCCTACCAGGCCTCACAAGCACCAGCTGCTTCTGCATTTAGAGATAAATCAGAATCGGTCCTCTTCATTAGCTTCATCTCTACCTCCCCTCCAACACCTTCTACCAAAAGTCCCAGTCCGGCTAGAAGATTTCTCCCTGCCAAGTGACAAATTTCCTCCCCCAGTACAAAATCACACCACACAATGGTTTCACCTGAGCAGGTTCAAACATTTTTGCTTTTACCAGATCACCTGCCACTCCTTGAGTCATCAATGCCCATTTTCCCAATTTCATTCCATCTGGAATCATATTCATGGTGGAGCAGGTAGCTCCAGAGCCTACCATAAACACCATGCCTTTCCCAAATGGTCCCATTTTCAAACTTATCAAGTGTTCCCAGTGGGTCCTCCTTTGAGGAGATCCCTGACCTTCCTAATCTTTGTCCGTATTCATGAGAGAAATGAACCTCTCCTCTCCCCTCAGCTCAGGGTACTCTCCTTTAAAGTGCCCAACCTTTCCACACTGATACCATCCTGCGCTTAATCCTTCATTCATTCACCCCCTCTTAGGTGTGGGCTGAAATCCTCTTCCTCGACCTCATCCTCTACCTTTCCTCTATTGCCACGGCATTGCATCCTTTGGGTCATGAACTCCATTTCTCCTCTCCTCCTCCATGTCCATCCTCTCCCCTCGGATACACTTTCTGTGCCTTTCTCAACAAATCTTCCAACGTCCTTGCCTCCCTTCCATCTAACTTCTGCAACTTCTGTTCTGCCCAATATCCTCCCCTGCCTTCCCTGCAAAGGGACACTTCAGCAATATCTCTCTGACGGGCTGGGTTCCTGAATCCAGTAACCCGTTTTTCTGCATCTGTTGCTTCAGTCTCTCCAGCCACTCAGATGGTGTTTCATCTTTCTTTTATTCCAAAGACAAAGTCTTACATACGTTCAGAGACTGAGGTACTGCTTCTTTGATTCCCTGGATCATATACTCTAATAATTCCCAACTGTCCCTTCTAGAAGCCAGCACAGAGCATCTCCTGCTCTGTTGAGATTTTCTCTATTCCAAATATCTCTAGCTGCCTGTTGGATCAAACTCAATTCTTCACCAGAAAACAAAATACAAGCAAACAAAAATGGCTTGTAGTTCCTGCCTAAAAGGTTTCACCTCTGCTGCAGTCAGAGGGGACTCCACAAACCCAAATCCTACCATTGCCAAAGTACCTGCCCAAAAGGGACCATAATATGATTTTACTGTCCTCACGCTTTAGGGCAAATCAGCAAGACCTCCCCCTGAAGGCCATGGCTAAGTTTTTCTGTGAGGTGGGATTTCCATCCTTCAAGCGCCAAAGCTCCTTAGGGAGTTCGGGGAATGAAGTGGTTCCCAAGGCGCCTTCGTCTTTCCTAGGGCAGGGTGGCAAATTATCGAATGGATCCCATTATTTTAAGGGCTCCAGACTGGTTGAAACTGAGGCAGACACCCAGTTGCCCGCCTACTTAGATTCCTCTGTCCCAGATTTGGTTGGATTTATTGTCCGTTTTAAGTCCTGACATACAGAGGGGTCGTCAGACCCGTATGGGGCCAGATGAATCCTCAAACCAGAGCGCATTTTCATCTTCTTCTTCTTTCCTGACTTTTCTTCCTAAGATTCCCTTTAAGAGAAATATTGTTTAACTCTTGCTTCAGTTGTTCCAACCCTTTTCTCACCTCGTCTTTCTCGGTGGGCAGCTCCGGGAGCGTTTGCGGGACGGCCCGTCCGGGAGCCGCGGGTTCCGGGTCGCCCCGAGCGAGCGAGCGGGCCGGAGGCGGGAGGCGGCGAGCGCGGGAGGGCGCAGGCCCGGGCCTGGGGCCAAGGCGGGCCCTCGACAGGCGCCTTCCCGCGCTCCCGGGGGCGGTGCGAGGGGCGTTTTGGGGCGGGATCGGGGGCGGCGCACTCCCTGAAAGCTGCGGCCGGACCTCCTCTACTTTCCGTTTGGGCGCAGCAGGGCTGTGACTGCAGGAGGGAGCCCACCGAGATCGGGGAAATCGCACGGCGCTCTTAGAAGCAGCCATCCCCGTGCAGGTTTTTTTTGTTTTTTTGGGGGGGAGGTTATTTATTTTTATTCATTTTTTTATTAAAACATTTCTATGCCGCCCCATTCGCCGAAGCCTCGGGGCGGCTCACAACATAAAATTAAAATACTAGAAATAACAGTATAAAAGAAGTCGCCCTGGCCAGATAAAATATGCAAATAATAGTAACAATTAAAATGACGCTTAAATAAAAAGGTCTTGGCCTGGCGCCAAAAAACAAATAACGACGGCGCCAGGCAGACCTCTCTAGGGAGCGCATTCCATAGGTTGGGCGCCACCGCAGAGAAGGCCCTCCTCCGGGTACTCCGTCTCCTAATATCTTTCACGGAGGGTTCCCGGAGAAGGGCCTCTGCCGCAGATCTCAAGGGGTGGGCGGGATGGATCGCTGCGTGCACCTGCTTTTCCCACCCCTTTCCAGAAACGCGCCGCTGCTTCCATGAACGGGCTCCCCTTCAGGATTCAGACGCGCGCAGCCAGCCCTCGCCGCGCTCCGGCACTCGCAGGACCGGCACTTTCCCACCGAGCCTCCCGCCTCTTGCTCCTTTGGCGCGCTGCTCGCGGTTCTGGGTGCGCTCACGAGGCACGTGCCCGCTCCCCCTGGGGGGCGGTGGGGGGGCGACCCCCGGGCCTTGCTCGACCGCTCGCCCCAGGGCCCCCTCCGCCTGCCTCGCGAAGCGCCCCCTGCTGCCTGCCTTCCTTCCCTGCCCTTGGGAGAAGCAAGGCCGCAGCGCCTTCCCCGTTGCCCCGAGGGCGGCCTCGTGGGGGTCCCGGTGGGGATGCGGCCCAACTAATACGCAGCAGGGAGGAGAAGGATTCAAAGTCTCTTGTGCAGAATACGGGTCGGTCCAGCCGAGGCCCGAGCTCTTCTCGGTTCCTTGTATTCATTCATTCATTCATTCATTTTTCAATTTATATCCCGCCTTTTTCCTACAAAGGGCTCAAGGCAGCTTACATCATTCTCCTCCTCCATCTTATCCCCACAACAACAACCCTGTGAGGTAGGTTGGGCTGAGAGTCTGTGACTGGCCCAAAGTCACCCAGTCAACTCCATGGCTGAGCGGGGACTCGAACCCAGATTGTCTGAGTCCCAGTCCCATGCTCTTAACCACGACACCACACTGGCTCTCATAATGCAGTCAAGCGAGCATTTGACAGAATCTCTCCTTTCAGTTTGTGAGGAGGAAATAAAGACTCCGTGGGGTCCGTGGGGAAGATCAAGCGTTGAACCTCGGCGGCTTCATTGTCCGCTGCCCCAGTACCTGCAGGCAACTCCCGATAATGCACTACCGGCAGAGGCAAACCCATCTGCAAAATCTCAGCCCGTGTACAGACACTCTTATAACCTGCTGGTCAGGTGCACCAACACAGAGGGTTAAGTTTCCAGATAATCTTAGTACAACAGCATCCCGATGTCTTTAGGCATGACGTACTGCTCTAAACCGATCAGAAATACTAGTAGCAATAGTATGGAAAGCATTGCTGATTGCTGTTGTCACACCAATTTCTCGCAAGGGCAAATAGGTTTATTTACAACTGAATGCATGGATCCATGGGTGCCTAAAATAGGAACACCTCATGTTAATTTCCTTAGGGTTATAGAGATTACACAAAAGGGGAGTGAATACAATACACAGGGAGGTGATTGGATGCTTTGATATGGATGGGAAAGTGATTGAATACATGTCACAGCACCAACACACACGAGCGGGAAGGTAGGTCTACTCGGAAGTCAGTCGGGGCAGTGCAGATGGATCCGTCCCCTTGACTTTGAGGGTGCGTGGCTGGCCAGCTTGCAGGGCGGAGCGAAAGCGGGGAGCTTGGAGGGAGGGGACCAAGCCCTGTGCCCTTCGTGCTATTGCATGATGTATTTGGCAGTTGCTTGTATTTTATATTGTGTTTATATTGTGCTTTATTATGTGTACGGACTTTCATTCGCCATCTGCGGTCCCCTGGAAGCAGAGCTCAAGGCAGCTTGAAAACCATGGTGGCGCATGGTCCTTTCGGGACTCCTGAAACCCTTTGACCTCCAAGGGTTATGGGAAACCAGTTACAGCAGGGGGGATGCAGAGGTGAAGGTTGTCTCTGCAGTCCACCCACTATGCAGGGCAGCAAGATGGCCGATTTCGGTGTGACGGTGGGGGTTTGGTGGGGTAGGAAAGAGCAGGACACAGCACACCTCGCCGGAGCTGGGTTCCTCCCTTGCCCCCTCCCAACACCCAAAATCCGTTCTGTGGAGCTGTGCTGCTGATTTGTTGGGGTCCTCCAAGGCGTGGGCCTCAGCTCTGACTTGGGAGTTGCTTCCCAGTGTCCCGCCTGGGCCCCATCCATTCCTATGGCCTTCCAGACTCCGGTCAGAAGGATTGTCCTGTCATTTAATAAACATGTAAAAAGGACTAACCTGTGTTTGTGAACCACATGTTTTACGATCAGGTGTGCCTTCTTTTTCTTTCAGCTCCTGCTGTCCTTCAAGCGGGAGACAGGACACGGTACCCGGGAGAAGTGAGCTGTGCTGGATCCGGACTGAGGAGAAGCCATGGAGGAGGAGGATGGAGACAGGGCCTCTCCAGGTGAGGGCCTTCCTGCTGCCCTGGCTGGCAGGTCTGGGGAAGGGAAGAGCAGTGGTCCCCCCTCTGGCCGGCACTGCACAGACGTGTGACCTGCCCCGGGAAAGAGGAATCGCTGCAAGACATTGACCCGGGAAGGGGAGAAGCAGGCAAGACAGGAGGCGGCTTTGGTGCATCTGGCTGAGGGCAGAGGAGGGGAGAAGATGGGGCCCTTTGCACCAAAGAGGGATTGGCTGTCACAGCCAACGGTGACTATTCGTATTACTAGTATTCCTATTATGCTGCACCGATATCCCAAGGGAGATGACATAGCTCCCTGCTATCCAAGGGGTGTATCGTATTATCATTCTCATTTTGATTTATATTCCACTGTTTTCCGTTTTGATGAATTCAAGGCTGCTTACGCCATTCCCCTCCACTTATCCCCACAACAGCAACCCTGTGAGGTAGGCTGGGCTGAGGGTCTGTGCCTGGCCCAAGGGCACCCTGTTGCTCTGGAGCTGAGTGGGGACTCGAACCCTGGTCGCCTGAGTCCCAGTCCTGTGCTCCTGCCCCCTGCACCGCACTGGCTCTCATAGAACAACGGAGCAGCCTCTCCTCTTAACAGAAGCTTATCTGGAGGGGGCCAAACCAAGCTGGGGTATCCCGGTCAAGAGTGCCGTGAGCTCAGCCCCTCCCTTTTTGCCCTTGGCTCCAGATCCCAGGTAGCCTCTTTGCAAAACAGAGTTTTACTGGCCCTTCACAGCCACAAGACAGTGACTCTCTGAGCTATCCAGTACGCTGGAAGATGCCATGAGTGCTTGTGGAACCCAGACTGGCCCAGATCCTTCCCTTTCTGTCACTCCAGGGCTCCATGGACAGGGGACTCCCACGCATGCATGGAACCAGCACAAGCCCTGGGCAGGGACTGGGCAAGGCAGCGGCTCTTCCTCTTCCTCTTCAGCGGCCCTGCCAGTCCCTTCCAGGTCAGCTGAGGAGCTGAGTCCAGTGACCCTGGGGTGCTCCCAGGGCCCGTGCCTCTCTCAAAGGCCCCTCTCCGCAGTCCCCAGACAACACGCAGGCTCTCTCCAGTCTGCAGCTGGAGATTCCACTTTGCGCTCGCTGATGCCTGGGGAACGGCCCGGTTGCTCCTGGGGGTGACCTGGGGATTGCATGGAGCAGGGTCCTCAGAAGGTGGCCTGGGCAGCGTTCCAGCCCCTCTTGGCCTGGAAGCTCAGTAGGTGACCTTGAGCCCATGTTATGAGCCCTGCCTTTTTTAGTTTTTAAATTATTGGTCCGTCTTAGTATTTGTGATTTTAGACTGATTTATACTTTTATACTTCTACTGTTATGGATTTTACTGTATTCTAATTGTAGCATGTCAATTGAATAAAGAAATAAAAAGAATAATATTGCCTGATTGGAAGCTACATTTCTTCTTTGCACCGTTGAAAGAGCGGCCATTTAAATGCTGTTTTTGTCTCCTTGACTTTCCAGGTCATGGGTGGGAGGCAGGAAAGGAAAGGGAGAACCTTCAAGTGCTGAAGGAACGTGGTCAGTTGCCAGGTGAGGAAGAAACAACTGGGGCTCAAGATGGAAGGAAGAACCAAAGGAGGGAGAGGAGGAATAAATCTGGGGTTTCTCGTGGCAGTGACAGCCCTGAAATCCCAGCTGCCGATAAGCCACAGAAAGCATCGGGAAGGGTCAAGTGCCCCACGTGTGGGGAAAGCTTTGCTAACAAAATTGGGTTTGCAAATCACCGGAGAACTCACACCGTGGAGAAGTCCTTGGGATGCTGGCAGTGTGGGAGCATCTTCAGTAAGCAGAGTTGGCTTGCTGACCATCTAAGAATTCACACAGGAGAGAGACCCTTTCAGTGCCTGGAGTGTGGCAAGAGTTTCCGTGTGAAATATTCATTTACTTTGCATCAAAGAATACACACAGAAGAGAAACCCTTCAAATGTATGGAGTGTGGAAAGAGCTTTACACAAGGTGTGCAACTGACTGTACATCAGAGACTTCACACGGGGGAGAAATCATTTGAATGCTTGGAGTGTGGAAAGACCTTTCGATCGAAGGAACTATTGACTACTCATCAAAGAATACACACAGGAGAGAAACCCTATGAATGCTTGGAGTGTGGAGAGAGCTTCACTCAGAGCTCAACTCTTGCTAGCTATCAAAGAATTCACACGGGAAAAACCATATGAATGTCTTGAGTGTGGAAAGGGCTTCAGGAGAAAAGGAGCACTTAATATACATGAAAGAATCCACACAGAGGAGAAACCATTTAAATGCCTTGAGTGTGGAAAAAGTTTCTCTGATAAAGGGAACTTCAGTAAACATAAAACAATCCACACAGTGGAGAAACCATTTAAATGCTTGGAGTGCGGAAAGAGATTCTCTCAAATTGGCTATCTTACTTCTCACCAAAGAATTCACACCATGGAGAAACCTTTTATGTGCCTCAAGTGTGGGAAGAGCTTCAGGAGGCGTGAGCACCTTGACTCCCATGAAATAATTCACACTGGGGAGAAGCTCCATAAATGCCTGGAGTGTGGAAAGAGTTTTGGTCGGAGAGATGTGCTTCATTCCCACCAAAAGATGCAAATAGGGGACAGGCCATATAAATGCCTGGGGTGCGATAAAAGCTTCTATTGGCTGTCTCACCTGACCAAGCATAAGAGAAACCATACAGAAGAGAAACCTTTCAGATGCCAGGAGTGTGGGAAAGCCTTCCGTCAGAAGACAGCCCTTACTAATCACAGGAGAATTCACACAGGAGAGAAACTGTATAAATGCTTGGAGTGTGGCAAGGACTTCACTCACTGATCAAATCTCACTTGCCATCAGAGAATTCACATGGGGGAGAAACCGTTCAAATGCCTGGAGTGTGGAAAGAGCTTCAGTAGCAAGGCCTACCTGATGTCCCATCAAAACATCCCTTCTGGGAAGGAACTGTTTAAGCGCCCGAAGTGTCTGACCTGAGCAGCTTACTGTGCATCAGAGAAGTCACACTGGAGAGCGGCCGTTTAAATGCGGGGAGTGTGGAAAGAGCTTCTTTTCAAGGGGGGAACATGGGAAACATCAGAAGAACCGCAGAGGGGAGAAAGCATTTTGTTGTCTGCAATGCGGAAAGACCTTCAGGCGGCGTCGGCACCTGGCTGCGCACCACAGAACTCACTTTGAGGAGAAGCTTGAGTGCCCGGAGTGTGGACAGCGCTTCAGGAAGAGCAGGCGCCTGGAGTCGCAACCGTGCAGCCCGACAGGATGAAGGCCCCGCGTTCCAGGAGAGCGGAGGCGCTTCGGAGCAGGACGAAGGAGACCTTGGCGGGCACACAGCAGAAAGCGTGTGCACGTTCTGGTTCTAGGAAGGGTTGAACATAAAGTTGTACAGGGGAAAGCTTCAGTCATTCCATTTAATTAGTTTGGAGTTGCAGAAGTTGGAGAGCTAAGCAGCCATTTAAATAGCATATTAAAATCTTACATGTCATAGCTATTCCCTTTAAGGTTTTGACGGTTTCCCTAACACTGCTTCACTTTGCATAGTCCAGTCTTTGAATGTAACTCCTGTGGTCCATAGGCAGAAAATGTCTTTCCTACTGAATTACTGCAATTTTGTTTCTGCACGTGATCTTTTACATGTACACTGCTTTTAAAACCACTCCTGTCTTAAGACTTGTGTTTCTGTTTGCATTTGGTCAGCATGTTGGAATGGGCATCCCCTGTTTTTCTGCCTGAGGTTTCAACGGCATTTTCAATCCTGCAGAACCTTTAAATTGCCTTGCGTCAGCGCTGGGGACACTCACTCACCCACTGGGACAAGGTCAGAAGCTAATTTCTGCTTGGGACCCAAGTCCAGTGGAGGTCACTAAGGGGCGTCTGATGAGCGGCACCAAGCTGGAGTTCTGTGGTGAGGAAGCCCTTCGCTGCCACCCAACTCGCCTAACCGGCACCTCGGGACTCTGTGCAGGACGGCTCACGTTCAGCTTCCGCCTGGAATGATGCTCAGCTGAGACAGTCCCTCCTGCCACAACACCTTGCGCAGGTATTTTATCGAAATGGCCGTGTTTGGCTCCCTGGATAGAACTCTGGGGAGGGAGATGGAAGGAATCTGGAATGCTAACAGGAATTGATTGATTGATTTATTTTTGATTTCAATTTTTTCAATTTATATCCTGCCTTTTTCCTACAAAGGGCTCAAGGCAGCTTCCATTATCTCTCTTCCTCCATCTCATCCCCACAACAACAACCCTGTGAGGTAGGCTGGGCTGAGAGTCTGTGACTGGCCCAAAGTCACCCAGTTGGCTCCATGGCCGAGTGGGGACTCGAACCCAGATCCTCTGAGTCCCAGTCCCATGCTCTTAACCACTACACCCCACTTATGTAATATGGCATAAGTACAGCCTTGCTGGATCAGACCCAAGGGCCATCCTGTTCAGTACTCCATTCACACGAAGGGAAAGCAGCCTCCGCAGGACCCTTCCAGCAGGATGGGTGCAAGACCCCTACCTGCCTGGGCTCCTCAGCAGCTGGTGTGTGTTGCCATGCTAATAGATAATCAATAGCTACTGTTGGTCTCTTCCTCCATGCCTTTGTCAAATCCTCTTTTAAAGACACCCAAATTAGCAGCCATCACCACTTCCTCTGGTAGCAAATTCCAAAGTTTAACTGTGTGCATTGAGGGAAGAAGTCCTTCCTTTTATCGGTCCTGAATCTCCCATAAATCGATTTCAGAGTTTGAGGATTCTGGGAGGGGGAAAAATGCTTCTATCTCGATATCATGCATAATTTTAAACACCTCTATCATGTCTCCCTTGCCTTTCTTTCAAGCCAAACAGTCTGTCTGTTGTAACCACCCTTCACAGGGGAGCTGCTCCAGCTCTTGGATCATTTTTGAAATGTTGCCCTTCCCTGAATGACGATCCAGGCCTATTTTGATAAGCTTGAATGCTGGGCTGGGGGGCATGGGGGAGAAGGGCTGGGGGCAGCTGAAGTGGAGCATGCTGGGAGAAGGGCAGGTGGTCCTTCCTGGCTAGCGTCCCCCTCCTCTAGGTGATTCTTGGACTGCCCGGAAAAGCAGAATCGGTGCAGGGAAGAGAAAAGAAAGCGAAAGGGAAGAAGAGGAGGGTGCTAAAAATTCCTGGGAAGGTTCTTGTGCGGGACACGGGTTCAAGAAAAGCGGAAGGAGTACCACAACTATCCTCTCAGGAGTCAAAGGGGATGGAGGACCCGGTGCCTAATTCCTTGGTGCAGAATGTGTCCAAGGCCTCTCAGCGTTTCCATTCCAGGATCCCCCTCTTGGGAGTCCCCCCAGTGATGAATGCGGAGCAGCTGGTGTTATTTTATCCTCACAACAACAACCCTGTGAGGTAGGCTAGGCCAAGAGGGAGCGACCGGTCCACGTCACCCAGGAGCTTCACAAACAGGTGGGGCCTGGAACCCAGATCTCCCAGGACCTTGGTCCAGTGCCGTGACCACCCTGCCCCTCGGGTGTCAGCTGAGCGTTCCCGCTGGTCTCCATGGGGCTGGGGAATAAAATGCATCTGGGTAATATCACTGGGAAGCGGGTGGCCATTTCCTGCTGGTCAAGGGGGTGGGTGGGGCAGGGACCAACTGCGGATGCCACCACAGGGAAAGGGTCTTCCTCTAAGCCTTGCTGCCCACACAGATCCTGGAAAGATCTGTGGAAGTGCAGATCTCATAAGCTGTTCAAATTGAAGCACGGGGACATGGGGAGGAGTGGTGGGGAACAAGGAAATGCCAGGAAAATATCCAGCAACATAACACGGAGTGAATCATGGCTTACTTGTTATCTATGTTAAAGCAATTTTCTATGTGAAATTATTAGCTTTATTCCACCCCTTACTAATCTCATCGAGTATTATTTCTAACTATTACCATGTAGAATTATTATTACAAGGTTAGATGAAATAAGGTCTATTAATGATTCTTTGTGGAAAGTCTTGCATCTAGTTTTATCATCAGTTTTAGTACGTGGTCTCTTGGTAAATTTTTCTTTCTGCACTTCTGTTTTTCTTTGTTTCTTACTATTTAAAAAGATAAAAAATAAGAACATGCATTCTGTCCAATTCAATATCACTCTGCTCCAGCATTTCTCTCTTGAAGAGTGCCAACCCTTCCATCTTTTCCCTCCTGTACATTTAGGAAATAGGATTTTTTGCAGGGAATTTTGTATCACAGTTTCAGGCAGATCCACGCAAAAGTCAGTGTGACCCCGCAAGGCACAGAATTCATGATTTCTGTGGAGAGAGACGCCCTTTGCAGCCGGTTTTGGGGATCATGGACCCGTTGCAAACCTGTGGAAATCAGAAGGATCCAGCAGTGATTCCGGGATCTTCTTCCTTTCCTCCTCAGGGCAGCAATTCCGAAGTGCACAAACAAATCTTGCACTTCCTTCTCTTCAGGGCCAGCTTGACTGTTCCCACCCTCCCCAGTCAAAGTGCATCCCATTCAGAAATCTTGACAACGTCCCTGCAAGGTGGACTGCTATGAAATCCAGAATGGGCTGCTAAATCGAAACCAAAGAGTGATCGTCAATGGCTCCTATTCAAACTGGAGGAGGGTAACGAGCAGGGTGGGACAGAGCTCCGTTCGAGGCCCAGTGCTCCTCAGCATCTTCATCAATGATCTAGATGAGAAAGTAGAAGCAAAGATAATCAGATTTGCAGATGATACAAAAGTGGGTGGAATAGCAAAAACCCTGGAAGACAGAATCAAGATCCAGGGTGATCTTGATAAACTCGAACGCAGGGCTGAAAGCAACAGAGTGAGATTCCATAAGGAAGAGTGCCAAGCCTTCCATCTGGGAAAAGGTAAGCAAATACACGATGGGGAATATGTGGCTCAGCAGAACTGAAAAGGAAGCAGTCCTCAGAGTTGTGGAAAACAGGCTAAATATAAGACAGTGTGATGCAGCCACTAAAAGGGCAAATGGGATGAATTAATTATTTCCAAATCATGAGGAGTCATAGTTCCTCTACACGCCGCACTAGTCAGACTTCAGCTGGAAGACTGTGTCCAGTTCTGGGCACCAAGATTTAAGAAAGAAGCAGAAAAATTAGGAAAAGTGCTCTGAAGGGCAACAAAAATTATCAGGGTTTTGAAACCCTGATAATTACCAGGGTCTCCTGCTGTCCTGTGAGAGAGACTGAGAGAACTGGGCATGTTTGGCCTTGAGAAGGCTGAGTGGGGACATGGTGTCCCTCTAGAAGTACCTCAAAGGCTGTCACAAAGGGGAAGGTCAAGATTTCACTGATACAAGAGTGTAGGACACGTTATAATCAATTCAAGTTGTGACACCCCAGATTCAGGCTGGATATCAGGAAAAGCTTCCTCACTGTCAGAGCAATAGGGCAGTGGAACCAGCTGCCTGGAGAGGTGGGGGGCTCTCCCACAGTGGAGACATTCAGAAAGAAACTGGGCAGCCATCTGAGTGGGATGGTGTGACTTGGAGTCCTGCAGAAGCAGGGGTTGGACCCGATGGCCTGTTGGTCCCTTCCAGCTCTACTATTGAAGTTATCTCACATCCTGAGATTTTGTAATGTTTTCCTCTTCTTGTTTTCTTATGAATTTTGATATATTTTTGTTTTTTTTCTTATCTTACATACTGAATAAAGTCCAAATTTCCCACCTTGCTCCATTATATGCTGTACGGATTGATGTGGATCCAAAATAGTCAATATCGTATCATCTGTGTAACAATTTATTTTATAATCTTCTCCGCAGTTTTAAAACCTTTAATTTTTGGACCCTGTCTTATCTTTTTTCGCTAAGATTTCCAATACAAAATTAAATAAAAGACGTGATACAGCGCGTCCTGAACGTGTTCCCTTCTCCATTTGAAAGCTGTCAGTTAATACACCATTTTTTAGACCCTTCGTATGTTGTCTGGCATAAATTGCCTGCATCCAGTTCAAAAAGTTGGAGCCACAATCAAAGTGTTGGAGGGTTTTGAGTGGAAAAGGCCCGTCTGGAACCAGTGGAAATCGGGAGGATCCAGCGGGGATTCCGGGATCCGCGTCTTCCTTTCCTCCCCAGGGCGCCAATCCCAAAGTGCGCCTGCGCCCCGGAGCGCCGAGCGAGCAGCGCTGCGGGGAATCGGGCGGCCGTGAGACCGACGGCGGGGACTCGCCTGCCCGGGGGATCCGGGGTCGGGGTCGGGGTCGGCCCAGCGGGCTCCGCGGCGCTGGGGGAGGCGGAAGGGAGAGGGTGAGGGGGAACAGGCGGGCAGGGGCTGCAGCGGAGTGGGGAGAAAGAGGGCAGAGCCCGCCAGCCTCCTCCTGCCTTTGGA